ACCAGAGTCAACAGCTACCTCGACAGGCTCGACTGCATCTACCTGGGACACACCTGAGGGAGCAGGACCCTGAGGGGGGAGGGGGTCTACCGGAGGGGGACCTGGCGTAAGGAAGAGCGGCGGGGGAGGGAGGGACGCAGTGCGGTAGGGGAAGAGACGGTAGTAGGGAACCGACTCGTCAAAGGTGACGTCCTGGGAGGACAGAACACGGCGCGAGGTGGGGTGGTAGAACTGCCAGCCTGGCGCGTCAGGAGGGAAGCCAAGGAAGACGCAGGGAACAGCACGAGAGGACAGCTTGTCCGCAGACAAGTCGCGGACAAACGCCCGAGATCCCCAGACACGGAACGCAGACGCATCGCCAACCTTCCCCGTCCACAGCAAAGCAGGGGAGGTCTCCGGCATGGAGACCCGGGGGTGAAGGTTGATCTGATGCGCCGCGTACCGAACCGCAAACGGCCACAGAAAATGGGGGGCAGCCGCATGGACCATGGACGTACGAGCGACGTCCATGATCATGCCAATGCGGCGCTCAGCAATCCCATTTTGCTGTGGAGAGTCCGGAAGCGTGAAGGTCTGGCGGATGCCTCGTGCACGACAGAAGGCCCGCAGAAGGTCAGAGGAGAACTCTCCGCCTCTGTCGGAGTGCAGACGCAGAACAGGAAAGTCAGAGCCAAAAATCTCCCGGAGCTGGAGACGAGCTGCGCGGATCCAGGCGATCAACACCTCAGTGACGTCACCCTTGCTGCGCAAGGGGAAGACTGTGGTGTAACGCGAGTAGTCGTCAACCACCAGCAGGAAGTAACGCTCGTGACCCTGCCCACGGACGCGGGCTGGGCCCCACACGTCCATGTGAAGCGTCTGCAGCGGAGCCTCTGTCGGAGGAAACTCGGAGGAGTGAGGGGCAGCGCGCTGCCGCCCCTCGACGCAGGGAACGCAGGTGGGGGCAGGCCCCGGAGGAAGGGGAGGGAGGGACCGGGGGAGGCCAGAGACAAGAAGACGGGAAGCCATGCCTCGAAGACGAGGCAGGGAGGGGTGACCAAGGCGGTGGTGCCAAAGGAGAGTCCGGTGCGACAGGAGACGACACGAGCAGGGAGCAGACTCAGGACCAGACCTGGACGCCGCAGCAAACACGTGACCCGACGCTGCTACCTGAGCGGACGCAGTGACTGGAGGAGACTCAGTAGTCAGTGTGTACAGGCTCGACCCCGGCCGACGGGCAAACGTGGCCAAGTGTCGGCCCGTGTCTGCACACGTGCAGTGAGTCACCCGCTGACGAGCAGGGGTGAACTGGTCAACCCCCCCATCCTGTAGGTCAGCACCACTCACCAAGTTCGTAGAGAACGAGGGGAGGTAAAGACCCGACAGGGAGCCAGACGGGACCGCTGGACACGGTAGGACAGTGGAGTAGTGGGCAAGGACAAGACCCCCAGAGGGGTCTGCCAGGGAGACTGCAACGGGCCGACTGAGTGGCGTGAGAGTGGTGCAGTCTCGAAAGAAGGAGCGGGAAGCACCCGAGTCAAGGGTGAAGGTGTGGGTGTCCGGAGACGACGCAGTACCTGAGAGCGCAGACTCACCGGCACCTGGGGCGGCAGACGCACTGGCACCTAGAGCAGCAGTCTCACAAGCACCTAGCGCAGCAGCCTCAATGCCCGGGTCAGGCGGAAAACACCGGTAACAGTCACCCTCATCACTAATAGTCACAGCATACATGGCAGCAAGAATAGCATCATAATCAAGATCAAAGATCGCAACACCCGCCCTAGACAGCTCGCCCCAGCGAGGGATCTCAGTAGCGTCGGGAAACTGGTGACGCCACGCGTCCGTCAGACGGCCGAAGCAGCGCTGGGTGGAGTGCGCTCCCCCACACTGCTCACCCACTCGGTCGCCGGTACGGAGAACGTAGGTACAGGGGCCAGTACCCCCACCCCGCTGACGTGCAGCGTACCACTCACGAAGCTGCTGACGGGGGGGGGATCTCACGAGCGCGCTGCTGCTGCTGCTGGCGCTGACCACCACCGGAGCCAACCCTCTGTGCAGCGCCACCCCGACCAGCTCCACCTCCTCCGCCGCTACCTCCTCCACTACCGCCACCTCCGCCACCTCCGCTCCCACCGCCACCGCCGCCTCCGCCTCCATTGCCGCCACCGACGCCCCCACCCCCGCCACCACCCCCACCGCCACCCCCACCCCCTCCACCACCTCCACCTCCGCCTCCACCGCCCCCGCTAGCTCCTCCAGCACCCTTGCCCCCCTTGCCCTTGCCAGGGCGGCGTCTCCCGCTAGGGGCAGACGCCGCAGCGACCGACTCAAGACCAACGAGGTCGGCCGCAGCAGCAGAGGCAACAGAGGGCAGGAGGGGAGAGGGGGAGCACCCCTCAAAGACAGGGGTACGAGGGTCACCACGAGAGGCTCCTACAGTGACTATGCTCTCCTCGGCCGCTAGAAGGCGCTCCTCGAGGAGGTCAACGGTGAGGGTGGTGGGGCAAACAGAGAGGAAGTGGTCCCTGACCGGGCGAAGGGTGTCAGGGAGCCGGGTGACTATGTAGTAGAGGGTGATGTACATGGGGGGGGGGTTCTTGGCGCAGAACTCAGCAGGAAGCGCAGCGCGGTAGCGAGTGTCACTAGTGCGAAGGTGCGTAATGAGGTCAGCGACAGTGGGAAAAGCGGCGAGGTCAGGGAAGAGGTACGGTAGGATGAGGCGGCTAAGCGCAGCAGTGGCAGGGGAAGAGTAGCGTGCAACTACAGCGTCGTACAAGGTCTTAGCACTCTTGTACTGGCTAAAGTGCGCACGCTCAGCGGTCGGCAAGTGGCGGCGCACAGCAAGGCGGGCAGCAGCATCGCGTGTGGCCCACTGTGAGCGAACAGTGGCGTCAGCATCAGCAGCAGGGGCAGGAGAGGCACCAGAAGTGAGGTCAAAGAGGGAGAGACCGTCTGCCCTATCGCTCAGCAGGAAAAGCTGCAGGTCATCTACCCAGACGTCAAAGTCAATGGCCCGACCCTCAGCGTCAAAAGTGAGGACACTAGGGGCAGCCATGACAGCAGTAGACTAGCAGCGCGAGCAGCAGGCAAGGGCAGTGCAGTGGTGGAGGCGCTGCTCTTACCGGGCAGGCGAGAAGGACCGAGGCTCGCCGGCAGGAACAGGGCCGCGACGGCAGTAACGGCGGCTCGGCGGCTCGGCAGCTCGGCGGCAACGGCGGCTCGGCGGCTCGGCAGCTCGGCGGCAACGGCTGCTCGGCGGCAACGGCGGCTCGGCGGCTCGGCGGCAACGGCAGCTCGGCGGCGCCGGCGGCTCGGCGGCTCGGCTGCTCGGTGGTGACGGCGGGGCCGTGAAGGGCGGCAGGGCCGCTGAAGGGACGGCGGCAGGGCCGATGAAGGGCGGCGGCGGGGCCACGAAGGGTGGCGACCGGGCCGCGGAGGTGTGGCGACGGGGCCGCGAAGGGCGGCGCCGGGGTCGCACGGGTGTGGCGACGGGGCCGCGAAGGGCGGCGGTGGGGTCGCGGGCAGCTGCGACGAAGCCGCGAGGGGCGGCGCCGGGGCCGCGAGGGTGGGGCCGCGGGGTCGCGAGGGTAGGGCGACGGGGCCAGCAGTGGCGACGCCGGGGCCGGTAAGAGCGGCGCCGGGGCCGCGAGGGTGGGGCGACGGGGCCGCGAGGGCGACGAGAAGGGGCCGCGAGGGCGGCGCGAAGGGGCCGCAAGGGCGGCGCGACGGGGCCGCGAGGGCGGCGCGACGGGGCCGCAAGGGCGGCGCGACGGGGCCGCAAGGGCGGTGCGACGGGGCCGCTAGGGGCCGTGAGAGGGGAGCGCGACTCGGGCAGGGGCGGAGTGCGCTCCGGGCAGGAAAAAATGAAAATCGGTGGGCCCTAGGAACAGTTCCCACGAGGGAACCTGCTCTATACCATGTGAAAACTAGAACGAGAATGGATGCATTGAGCAGCATGAGGAGTACAAGTACCAAACCCTAAAATGTTGTACCCCATATAAGCTACCCCACTACAGCCTACACAGACTATAGTGTATGAGTTTGATAGAAACCCACCTGGTGTTTAGGGTTGATGCCTCCCCGAGTCGCATCCCTTTCCGATTGGGTTTTAGTTTTTGGTAGCGTCAAAAATTGACACGTGTCGAAACTTTTGAGTGGCAGTATCAGTCGTGAACATAATCTGGTATGTGTTTTGAACGGATTTTCCGAAAGCAGTAGTGTTCGAGTAAACCCAGTATGAAATTTGAACGGTTTTCAATAACCAGGTAGCCAGCACATACACCTAGCCCTCGCCAATTTCACGCCCCGTCAGTTCTTCCTTTAAACCAAACTGTCCTTTTCTGGCTATAGGGATCAGACACCCACGAACTAGAGGCTATCCGAGGCATTGTAAAGTTTCGATGTTGCCCCATCTGACGTTGAGACCGCAACGCAAAGACTGAATCTTTCGCTGCAACCATGTCTTTTTTTTTTCCCGCTGACTCATGTACGCAGTCCCAGTCATTGATCCCCTTAAAACCACATTGTTTGAAACAACCCTCATATTCGGGTGAATTAGAAACGAATACACAGGGGGGTGAAATTGGCCATAGTGAAGTTGGCGAGGACTATGTGTACTTTCCCAAAAATGAGTTGACAAGAATGGTTCCGAACCGAACGCGCCTCGGCTCAGGTTTTCAAGTTGAAACAATCATCCGCACATTCATGAAAACAACATTCCCAACCAGTTGTCGAGCCCAAACCTAGCTAAGTTTAGGGCAATCCAATTTCAACTTGAACAAGGAACCCTAATCTTCTCCGATGATGCCGCCCTACCAAACGAAAGCCACAAACGTCTATACTTCGGTGACGACGATAACCTTCTCAGAAAGATAGTAGCCGCCCGGCATTTACCGTTTTAGCGCTTTTCGTGCGTCAGTGTCGGTGGGTAGAACTATTAGACGAACTATTAGTGTCAGTTGCGGCGGGACCCCGAGGAGGCAAAGGGCCGAGGAGGGCCAAATTGAGTAGGGGTTTTTGCGATGATTGGCCCGGATGCGGGCTCAACGACGGTGGCGATGGCAGGTGATCGAGGGCGCGTGCAGCGCGCGTGGGAACTGGCGTGGTGGCTAGCCGCCATTGTCGCGCCCGTCGCGATGATTATCATGGTGAAGGCCGTGCCGCTCGAAGCCACTCAAGGCAAGCGTCGCTCGGATGAGAGTGCCCTTTTTGATCGAGAATATCGATAATTCGTATGCGACCCATCATTTAACATGCCTTGTTTGTCACCGAATGGCGTATGCGGCTTATCAAGATCTGCTAGTAGCTCGTTGCACATGTCCCGCCACACGCGCCGCCCATGCGGCAGCATGACCGCTTGGCATGGCCAAGGGCCAGAGCAAAGGGCGAAGGAGCGAAATGGCGATGGACAGAGAGCGAAAGGGCGATGGACAGAGAGCGAAAGGGCGAAGGACAGGAGCGAAAGGACGAAGGTCAGAGAGTGAAAGGGCGATGGACAGAGAGTGAAAGGGCGACGGACACAGAGCGAAGGGCGAAGGACAAGCAAAAGGGCGGAGGACATAGAGAAACGGCGACGGACACAGAGTGAAGGGCGAAGGACAGAGAGCGAAAGGGAGATGGACAGAGAGTGACAGGGCGATGGACAGAGAGCGAAAGGGCGATGAACAGAGAACGAAAGGGCGATGGACAGAGAGTGACAGGGCGATGGACAGAGAGCGAAAAGGCGACGGACAGAGAGTGACAGGGCGATGGACAGAGAGCGAAGCGATGAACAGAGAACGAAAGGGCGAAGGCAGGAGCGAAAGGGCAAAGGACGGAGAGCGAAAGGGCGACGGACAGAGAGCGAAAGGGCGATGTGCAGAGAGCGATAGGGCGATGGACAGAGAGCAAGGCCGAAGGACAGAGGGCAAGGGCGAGTGACAGAGAGCGAGTGTGGCGAGTACGAGGGACAGAGAGTGGCGGCCCATTTATAGAACACAAAGAGGCGCCCCATATATAGAACACAAAGAGGCGCCCATATATAGATGCTGTGGGTGACCTCCCATCCCACCACACGGTGTTGACAGGTTTGTCTGTCAGGCATAGCGGCTCCTCTGAAGTGCTCCCCTGTGGGTGAGTGCAATAAGCGTTGCGAAAGAAAGAGGCGAAATGGAACGACATGGCCAAAAGCGACACAGGATGGCAATCACTGAGCGTGAGTCGTCTTGAGACCAACGACAACCATGGGGTTTGTTGTGGAGAGTTCCCCCGCCCCCCCTAGGAGGGCCTCCTCATCCTACCTCACCCCTCCTCTTCGCCCCCCTCTGCCCCCCACCCACTGCCACTCATTGCAGTGCAATTCCTGCAGGAGTGCCAGGCAGCATGGGGGCGGAGCATCCCCGGGTGGAGTGGTGCGAGTCCGGACTGCAGCAGTGCCACGGGCCTCACGTGTGACCCCTCCGGCATGATCGTGGTCCTGTGAGGCGATGGGAAAGGGGCCGATGGGAGTGAGAGGATGGGACATCACAAAGTAGTGGCCAAAATTGGTCTGATATTGGTCTGATACTGGCACCCATGACCAAAGTCAGTCCATATTTTGGACCAACATTTTAGACCAAATTTCGTGTAGTTGGACATACAGATTCCGTCCAAATTGAGTCCGAACTTTGCCTGAAAAAGTGGGGACCGAATTAAGTCCAAAGATTTTCTCCGTTTAGTCCAAAATCAGTTAGACTTGGTCATAATTTTACTGTACTCGTTCTAGCGCTTTTCAATTTCAGTTAGCAAAAGTGGTTAGCAGTTCAGAGTATTGGAAAGGTTTGTATTAATATTCATGTGTTACAGACAATTCATACAACAATGTTATTGACACTACGTCTATCAATACTGCTAATTTCAGCAGAATACTGCTGCTGGTGGTATTGCATAGCATCCATGCACAGCTGCAGTTGCGCCTTAAAAACACGACGCCGGCTGCACACCATAGCTATAGCTATTCCTTCCAGCTACCATTCTCATCCCTGCCAACGGATAACAAACGGGAATCGCGCGTTGTAAGACATTACAATAAAAAGGGAGCGAAACGGGAAAGCAACGAAACACAGACTGACCATACAGAACTGGTATGTTATCATGAATGCCTGCAAGAACAAGAGAAAAGGAACGCCCGACAAGTGACACAAAAAACGGAGAGAAAAAAACCAGGAATGAAAGCAGTGTTAGCACAATAAAAGGGCGAGAAAACGTAAGATCAGGTTAGAAGTGTTCCTGCCTAGGGGAAAAAAATACTAACAAAATGTAAGTCTAGGATACTACAGCTTCCGCGTTGCGACCGAACAGGCAGGGAGGCAAAGCGCGTGGAGTAACCAGGCCTGGTGGTAGAAGAAGTTAAGGAAGGTGAACTGCAGATCAAAAGACGAGAAACAAAGAACGAGGAAGAATAATTGAAACGGAAGTATGAGAGTGAAGGTGAGTATGCATTGTGCTGATGCGGGAGAAAGAGATGCTCTGGCACAGCGCTGGAGGGCGCTCCGAGTGGTGGGGATTTTGGTAGTTACGGTTCAAGCAGGTGCGCAGGTGTGCAGTGCGCAGGTGAGCAGGTGCGCAGCAGTGCGGAGTTGGCTGCCGGAAATGTAATTCCGCAGTCTGCGCTTGCAGCAATTGCGCAGTTGGCACAGCGCAGTTTGCAGTGCGCATTTTGCCCTGCGCAGTTGGCACTGCGCAATTGGCACTTCCAGCAATTGCGCGGCTGCGCTGGAGTTGCCAAATCCAGCGAAGCTGCGCAAGGTGTACACCAGCTTCTTGTCGATAGCGTTTCGGAGATTTTCAACCAATCACAACAAACCTTAACGCTAGCGAAGGTGATTACACCAATTACAAAACACCCCGACGATGACGTGTTCTCATGACAACCATGTGCTGGAATGACACAGGCGGTGGTCCCTTGTTACTACATATTGCTTCCATGGATTGTACAACCCGTTTGATACTTTTATACACCGCATGTAAAAGGCCTTTTCATCATAGCCCTTGTTTTCAGTGCCTAGAAGTATCACATATTGTTACAAACATATGCGTTTCCATTGTTAGAGTGGTTCGCCGCTGCCCTAGTATCTACCGGCCTATTCACTTGACCTAGGGACGGTGGAACAGCACTAGGAACGGTGGGAAACTACATCCTACTATGGAGAACCGTCAGCTATAACGGTGGGGCTGCATGCTAAGGAACTAAGGCATGAAGGCGAGAAGAAAGCGGGAAAAACGGAATGGTGAGGGAGTGGGTTTCGGGAAATGTCGAGAAGGCATTTTGCCGTAACCTAAAATGTCCAACCGCAACCGAACCGTGTTCGCTGCGGATGAGACAACCAGATTTCGGTTCCGGTGACGGTTACCGAAATCGGTTCCGCGTGCGACTCGGGCTGAAACGCGGATGACGCGTTACGCGAGGCGCACATCACAATTCGAAATGCTTAAATCTGTTTGTTTTCAACCATTTTGTGTACTTCTCTGTTTTAAGTGAAATCAGTCTTAAAAAACCAGAAATTCTCTCCAAGCATTGACTACCTTCAACGCTAGCCGGAGGCTATACCCAAACTAAGAGCTGGTATCAGAGCTTGGTTCTCGTCGTGTCGAGCCTCATTATAATAGCGTTGGAGGCGTTATTAATTTTTGAGTAATTGGAACGGGCGAATATTCAACGACATGGGGAAAGGAGAGACCAGTTCGGGATCATCTGTGAACACCGACGGTGTGCAGCTGGATGCCCTTGCTAAGGGGCAAATTGTGGCCAAACCGACGATTGGCCTAAGTGAAGCTCAACGCTTCAATGGAGAGAACTACGGCACATGGCGGCTGAAGTTAATGCGATGCGCCCGGGAGGTGGATTTGTGGCACTTCTACAACCCAGAGGCAGCGACGGAGGAAGACGGACCTGCACCTGCAACCGCACAAGAGAAAAAAGCGTTCAAGAAAAGAAGCCAACAAGCTTTCTTTCAACTCTGCCATTCGGTCTCGGATTCAATCGCGGCACGACTCGACCCATTTTCTGAGGAGGACAACGCTGCAGAGAAGGCGTGGGCCTACATGGAGAGAGTTTACCTCGGGAAGAGCGAAGCAAAAATGACAGCAGTGAGGACGAAACTCATACTGCTGGCCATGGAACCTTCCGAGACGGTGGTGGACTACGTGGGACGTGCCAAAGGCTACAACGACGATTTGACGGCTATGGAGTGCCCGAATCGGAGAAGCAAATGATGAGCTACATCATTGGCGGCCTACCGAAGTCATGGGCAGCAGAGAAGCGGATGCTGGCCTGCCGACGCCCGACGGATATGACGGACTTAGTGGAGTCCCTTCAAGATGTGGCACTCATACGTGCCGAGGAAGAACGAAGGGAGGCGCTGCTGGACCGTCACAACTTCAGCAACGACAAACCTGCCATGTTGAACACAACCGGGGCTGGAAAATCATTTGGAGCTTGCTTCCACTGTGGGAAGAAAGGGCACAAGGCTGCAGACTGTTATTCCAACCCAAAAAGCAAGAATTTCAAAGGAAAGGCAGCAGGAGCAAGCGGAGAAGGACAACGACCGAGAGGCGGATTTGCTGGAAACTGCAACCACTGCGGAAATTTGGGCACAAGACTTTTGACTGCTACAGCAATCCAATGAGCAAGAGCTTCAGGGGAGGGCAGCAACAGCAAAAGAGTCACGTACCTGCGAAGCTCAACGCCACCAAAGCGGAAACAAGCGACGACGACGTCATCCTCGGGGGAGCCCACAAGGCCAATGTTGCAAGAGCATCGGGAGCATGCCTGCTTGCAAAGGGTCTTAAAGGGAAGGAGTGGTACATGGACAGCGGTTGTACCCAACACATGACGAACCAGAAGGAGTGGCTGAAAAATTTCAGAGCATCACCGATTCCGTACGTGCTATTGGGAGACGAGGGGAAACTTCCTGTGAAAGGGGAAGGAGACCTAGTGCTGCAAAGCGCTTATGGTGAGGTGAAGCTGGACAACGTGCTGCTGGTGGACAAGCTCACGCTCAACCTTATAAGCCAATCTCAGTTGGATAGCGGTGGATGCAAAACTTTCAGCGACAAGGGGAGCATATGGGTCTTTGGAGCGGATTGGAAGGTGATAGTGGAAGGATCACGCAAGCAAGGGCTATACGAGATGAAGCTGCACGAAAAACAGAGTGGGGACAAGGTCACGTACCTGGCTGAACCGGAAGCAGGCAAGGCGGCACGAGATGAGCTCCGCACCAAGCTCGAAAGGGTGCCGATTAAGGAGCTGCAGCAGCAGGCGTTTCCTATGGCAGCAGTAGTGAGCACGGTGGACGTCAACCTGCTGCATAGGAGGATGGGGCACGCTGGTCATTATCGAATCAAGGAGCTGATCAAGAAGAACATGGCAGCGGGAGTGAAGGTAGCTGAGGGTGGAGAGGAAAATCTGAAGTGCAGCACATGCGTGGAAGCAAAGGCAACAAAGGCGCCACATCCCAAGCATGGAGCTCGTGAGCCGTACGAGACGTTGGCTATTGTGGCAGCCGACGTATGTGGACCAATGCGGGTGGCTTCACGACATGGCAGCAAGTATTTCGTTACCTTCACCGACCTTGGCACACGACACACGTGGGTGACTGAAATCAAGAACAAGTCGGAAGTCTTCACGAGCTTTCTCGATTGGCAAGCGGAAGCGGAAAGGCAAAGCGGCAAGAAGCTGAAGGTGTTACGCACGGACAACGGGGGAGAATTCGTCAATGCCGAGTTCAACACGTACCTGAAGTCAAAGGGCATACGAAGGCAGCTCACGGTCCCGTACACACCTCAACACAACAGCATAGCGGAGCGGGTGAACCGATCACTGCTGGAGAGTGTGAGGAGCTTGCTCGCGGACAGCAACCTGCCTCTTCACTACTGGGGAGATGCACTAGGAATGGCATGTTGGCTGAAAAACCGGCTACCGACAAAGGGACTAGCAGCGGACGTTACCCCTCACGAGGCATTCTACAAAAGGAAGCCGAATCTGGAGTTTCTGCGCGTTTGGGGCTGCATGACGCAATACCGAGAGGCGGCGGGACCCGATCACAAGCTTCTCCCAAGGACCAAGTGGGGGATTCACTTGGGAATTTGCCCGGAAAGCAAAGGTTGGGTGATACGCGATGTGGAGACCGGGAAAGTCACGGCGACCAGAGACGTCACCTTCTACGAGAATGACACCTACGTGGAGTGGAAGGGAAGGAAACAAGGAGCCATGTTAAAGGAAACGACAGCAGCACCAACTCCAGTGGAGGAGATGATAGATGGCAGTAATAAGGAGGGAATAGGGGCAGCCAATGGAAGCGGTGACACCGATGACTACGAAGACCACACTACGCCGGGTTTCGATTGGGTGTGGGAGGTCCAGGAGCTGTCCGCACCTTCAACCGCCACGGAAGAGAGTGAAGAAGAGAAGGATAAGGGAGAAGAGGGTGGTGACACTTCAACGAAGGAAGCCGATGCGGAAGAAGCTGAAAATTCAGATGAGGAGGAGAGTGTGGACGAATCTGCTAGCACGAGCTACTCCGACCCATGGCGCATCATTGACACGGGGGACAATGAAAAGGCGGCAGCAGAAATTGAAGACCTACTTTCGGACGGTGCGATCATCATCGGAAGGGAGGTTGCAGGAGATTCCGTAGGAGCGGAAGACAACGCAGCAGCAGAGAAAGGTGGAGCTGAAAAGGAGAATGAGGAGATGGGCCAAGGGAAACGGGTCAAGAAACCCAATCCCAAGTATGCCCAAATGCTTCTGACCTGCTGCAAGGACATTCACACCCACCTCCTCCTTACCACCACGGCAACGGCATTACTCTCAAAGGGGAAAGTGGAAAGCTACAAACTGCCCACCGAGCCTCTCACCATTGAAGAGGCGCTGTCCGGGCCGAACAAGGAGCAATGGAAGGCTGCAATTCAGGAGGAACTTGATACCTTAGCTGAAAGGGGGACATGGGAGCTTGTGAACATGCCCGAGGGGAGGAAAGCAGTGGGGGTGCGCTGGATCTTCAAGATCAAAACAGGAGACATGGGACAACTTGAGCGTTTCAAGGCACGACTTGTGGCTAAAGGTTACACTCACGTGGAAGGGGAGGACTACGACCAACTATACGCACCCGTGAGCAAGTTAACAACGGCAAGGACCATGCTAAAGGTGGTGACGGCACGTGGGTACTTCATGGTGCAGCTAGACATTAAAAATGCCTTTCTCTACGGCATTTTGAAGGAGACTATCTATATGAATAAGCCACCAGGGTGTGAGGACGGCACGGACAGAAAGTGCAAGCTCATTAAAGCACTTTATGGGCTGAAACAAAGCCCGCGAGAGTGGTACTTGGCTAAGGATGTGCAGCTGGAGAAAGGGGGGTTTGTGAAGAGCCAATGTGACCGCGCATTCTACTGGAAGGGAGAAGGAGAGAACAAAGTGTTCCTGCTCCTCTACGTGGATGATATCCTAGTGGCTCGAGCAAAGGAAGAGAAGGTGGAGGAGGTGTGCACTCACCTCGCAGCCGTATTTCAAGTGAAGAAGATTCCAAGGACCACTCTCTTCCTTGGAATGAACATAGAGAGGAATAGGGAGGAGAAGAAGTTGCTGCTATACCAGAAGAAGTACTTCCAGAGGTTGCGGGAGCGGTTTGGAGGGCAATGCAAGACCAAACCAGTGACAACACCTCTCAGCAGCCTTGCGGATAAGGAGGTCGATGTGGAAGCGGAAATTGAGGCATGGGGCAGCAAGGAGAGAGCGCTCAAAGCTTACCAATCCATGGTAGGCTCAGTCATGTACCCGGTGTCATGCACACGGGTTGATGTGGCCTACGCTGCAAGCTTTCTTGGACAGAGGGTGTTGCAGCCCGAGGGACGCAAATGGAAGGAAATGGAGCGGACCATCACCTACCTTCTGCAGGGGATGATGAGAGGCTGTTGTTTGAAGGAGGAGAGGAGAGTCTAGAGCTAGTGGGGTACGCTGACGCCTCACATGGATCAGACAAGAAGGATGGGAGGGGAGCCTATGGCTATGTCTACCTCCTCGGTGGAACGGCAATCATGTGGCAAGCCAAGAAGCTCACCGACGTCGCTCTGTCCATGGCGGAATCTGAATACATGGCGCTGTTTTATGCATGCCAAGAGGGTGTGTGGCTGAGGCGCCTACTTCAAAAGATGGGGATCAAAGTGGAAGGACCCACAACGATCAAATCGGACAGCAAATCAGCGATTGACCTCGCACGGAACGACAACTGGCATGGGCGCACAAAACACATGAATGTAAGGTACCATTGGGTACGGGAGCAGCTGCAGAAGAAGGTATTCACCTTTGTGCATGTGGGAACACAGGAGCAGCCAGCGGATTTCCTGACTAAGGTGCTACCCAAGGCAAACTTCGAGTATTGCAAGTCTTTTGTTGTCATACGTAACTTAAAGGACATGCAGGGGAGCAGCGGAGCAGCAACACGAGATGTTCCATCACCTTACGGATGGGGTCAGCAAGGGAAGAAGAAGGCTGGTTACATGGTAACCACTGGAGCATAAGAGGGTGGCAGCTGGCAAACCACAGGGGAGATTGTTAGAGTGGTTCGCCGCTGCCCTAGTATCTACCGGCCTATTCACTTGACCTAGGGACGGTGGAACAGCACTAGGAACGGTGGGAAACTACATCCTACTATGGAGAACCGTCAGCTATAACGGTGGGGCTGCATGCTAAGGAACTAAGGCATGAAGGCGAGAAGAAAGCGGGAAAAACGGAATGGTGAGGGAGTGGGTTTCGGGAAATGTCGAGAAGGCATTTTGCCGTAACCTAAAATGTCCAACCGCAACCGAACCGTGTTCGGTGCGGATTAGACAACCAGATTTCGGTTCCGGTGTCGGTTACCGAAATCAATTCCGCGTGCGACTCGGGCTGAAACGCGGATGACGCGTTACGCGAGGCGCACGTCACAATTCGAAATGCTTAAATCTGTTTGTTTTCAACCATTTTGTGTACTTCTCTGTTTTAAGTGAAATCAGTCTTAAAAAACCAGAAATTCTCTCCAAGTATTTACTACCTTCAACGCTAGCCGGAGGCTATACCCAAACTAAGATCCATCCACTACAAGCCGATGTTACCATAAACACAAAATCAGCTCCCTTAAAGTGTTAAATAAACATTTATGATAAACTAAACATCAGCTCCTTATAACTTTGATATACAAATTTATTATCATTTTAGTTATGTAATGAATAATTGTCCATGCTCCGTTGTGTTGAAGTTGACCAATATTGCACGCCAAATGATAAAAAAAATCAGTCTCATAAATAACGACATCAATAAAGCGAAAATGTAATATCGACGGTAGCATAATAGATTCATCTAATCAATGAGTATCATGGCAACAAGATCTGGTTTAATACCAACGGATTATTTTTGTATAACTTTTATTATAATTGAATACATATGGCAAGTGTAGTCAGAATTGGACCTAGAACTGACCATTTCTGGTCCAAATTAGGACTTACAAAGTGAGGCGTAATATTGGTCCAATTGATGTCCAGAATTTGTACAAGAAAGGCGGGGCGATTTCTGACATGTAGCGGCTCGACAAAACTGGAGCCAAATTTGACGTGCTTCGGTTGACCCCACCCAATTTCGACCAATCTGGCACGATTCGCACCGAACTCCCTCAAAACAAAAGAGGGTTGTTTGTGATGGAGTGAGAGTATGGGGGTGAGGTGATGGGAAGGAAGGCTGGGAGTGAGATAATGAGAGTGAGAGGTTGAGTGCAAGAGGCGCTGTACTTATCGCCATTCTTGAAAAACCAAGCTCAGTGCTCACCATTGTCGCACCATCATTCACACACCATCATCGACATACCATCAATCACAAACCATCAGGCAACTCCGGAACTACAAGCTGGGAGGGCAGATTCCAAACTCCCTTAGTAGCCTCAGGAAGCTCCTTTATCTGTACGTCCTCGTATTCCTTGCTGCAGGAAAGTTGCCTCCACTTTCAGCCCACAGCACAGCCACGCCTCAATTTCTTTTCACCATCTCTTCTCCTGCCCACCCCGCCCTCCTCCCACATTTCCCTCCTTCCCCCCTCTTACCCACATATGGCCTCCCTCTAAACCCCTTGCCCCATTTTTATTCTCCCCTTCATTTCTCTCTATCCCTAGCCCGCTTACCCTCTCCAGTCCCCTGTACCTCACTCACTCTCGTGAGTGGTCCTCTTTTTGCGAAGTGTCGTTTTGGCCTAACTAAGTGGCCAGCTGTCTAACCATGTGGCTGGCTAAGCTGGCCTTACCAACTAACCGAGGCTCGGCTCGTATAACCAACCTTAGGAATCCAAGTCGTGCTGGTCAAATTGGAGTAAAATATCAGCTTCAGGTCTGGTTATTTTTTAGTTTGATGATTACTTTTTGATTCCCCCCTCGCTAGGCCCATACTTCTCCACAACACCATGCTTTTCCAAAAGCTTGATTAGCTCAATCCCTTGAGTTATCCACCATTATTTTGCTTTATTGAGTAGTACTCGATAGACACGAGAAACGGTCGAACTCGAACGTGTTCCTTTCAAACACTTCCGAACACCCCGCCAACTTGAACCGAACATGTTCGGTTCGAGTCGAACACTTTTTCCAAAAAGTGGCGTCCAATGTTCGCCCCGGTAACTGTTCACCCAGAACACGAATGTGTTCGATTCGAGCAGTTCCCCCCCCCCCCCCCCCCCCCCCCCCCTCCACAGCCCTTTCTCTCCCCCTCCACAGGCCCTAACCCCCCTCCACAGCCCCCTCCAGGTCCTGCTCCTCGAGCCCCTCCCCCTCCAGTGCCGTTGAGCTTCATCCTCGACCTGGACATGTCGAACACTCGAACATGTTCGCCCTGAACACATAGATGTTCGGCCAAACCTTTTTTGCCAATAAAAACCAACTGTTAAATTCGACTCGAACATGTTCTAGTCGAACTGAACAGGGGTTCGCCCATTTTCTCATGTCTTAGCAGAACCCATTTTTTCCCACTAGAGGGCTCGTGGCCAGACTGCTTGAGGCTGGGTAGCTTGTAGCCAGCTTGAACAGCTCCTAGCTCAACCGGAAAAAGTCATCCGTCTTTACCAGCTCCTAGCCCATTTGCGAGGCCAGGCAAAAGTCAGCTCGGCTCGTGTTGAGCCGACTCGGCTCAACTCGGGAAAATGGCAAGCCTACCCCAGCTCAAGCCAAGCTGGCTCAGCTCGAAAATGTGCTCAGGCCATGGCGAAGGCTCGTCGATGGGCGGGCCATACGGGCCGGTCTGGTCAGAAGGGTGGGCATGCTGCATGGATTAAGCTGTAGCAACAATTCTCTTCTCCCTTGTGGTTTGCTCAACCACTCAGCACGCCCTCCTTGCTACTGTTATCGTGTTCTCACAGCGATCTCGCAAGCAACCAGCTGCCAGGCAGCATTCCTGCCAGCGTGACTGCGCTCAGCCTGCTGCAACACCTGTGAGAGTGATGTACACCGCACAAGGATCTGCCACGTCTTTTCTTTGTTGGTCCTTGTTAGAATTGAACCGTTTTTTTTGATTAAGGATCAAGAGGGCTTACATAGTTGAAGCTAGGGAAGGTGGGTTGGTTGGGTACCTAGCCAACATTATTGGCCCCCCACCAATAAGTTGGGTTGGAGAATTATTGGGGGGTCCCAATAATGTTGGCCAAAGTGAGCCAACATTATTGGGGGGGCCAATAATCTCCCAACCCAACCTTGGGGGCCCAATAATTGGGCCAAGGTTGGGTTCCAACCCCCAACTAGGGTTAACCCTAGTTTGTGCACCCAAACATAGTTTGGGTGCTTATCTCTATCCTAGGGTTTATAGGATCAATGTAGGATACAAAAGAGTAGTATAATCTAACAGTCCTCTCTCCCCCTGTCCTGTCCGTGCCCACCCACGAACGCATGTCTGCACGCTTGAAGGCACACAATCCCTCTCTCTCTGGCCGAGCAGGTGGCTCTACAACAATTCCCTCACCGGCGCTATCCCGGCTGACATTGGCTCACTCACCAGCATGATCACGCTGTGAGGTTTCTTGCTGCTGCCGCTCGTTCCTGCATCACTTGTTCCTTCTCCACTGCACTTAGGTCCTCCGATTGTGCCTGTTGTCTCTTTCATTTATGGCACTGCCCTCTACTCTGCCCTACTTGCCTTGACTTCTCTCCTCCTTGCTCGCTCCCCTTCTGACTTGTGTTCCTTTCCCATCACTGCCAACATTCCCTGACGGGAAGGAATGGTGGTCTGTAGTGAACCTCAAGTGAGAAGCACAGTTGGAATTTCCTTAGCCAGCGTACTACTGATTAGTAATGTACTCATGCTACTTTTTATGCGTCTTTCACTCGGGTTGGGGGGGGAGGGAGGGCCCGGAGAGGGGGGGGGGGGGGGGAAGATGCTAGCAAGACGTAGTGACTGCGAATACAAATTTAGGTAAGTGGGAATTGAAGGAAAGGAAAAATGTGTACCAGGCCTGCTGCTTTTGGTAGACACAATGGAGATTACACGGGCAGGAACCCTAAGGTCCGTCTCATGCGAATAGAGTTCTTTGAGTAGACAGGATGGGGTTGGACAAATAGCGGGAGTGCGATTTGGAGCGGTTGTATGAAGTGAAAGGGCTGGGAATTTTTTTTGGGATGCATAAATCCGTTGTTGAGCTGATGACACAGGTGCGGCCGCTCTAGATTTCAAAAGGAAGTCGTAAGAAGTTACAGCGACTAGCTGGGTTGTGAATGAACAGTGTTTCTTCAATACACCTGCCTTGCCCTTCCTCCCTCAGCCATCTCTACTCCAACATGCTTTCTGGCTCCGTGCCCTCCTCAATCACAAAGCTGACTGCACTGATGTTTTTGTGAGATCTTTTACTCCACTGCTAGAACTAACTTTGCTTCCAGCTCACCTGAAGTGAAGGCCACGTGCGCTAACTAAAAAGCAATGTTTTTTATTCTCCAAGCGTGACCTTCTGCTCGGTCACTCCTGTTGTTCCACATTCTTCCAGCATGTTGCCACGTTTCGTCCGTCTCGCAGGCACGTTCAGTATTTACTCTTCGTCAACCTCATCGCTATCCCACCTCACTGTTTGTCTTGTCTTCTCTTATATCCTTCCACCTCACTAAACCCCCAGTGATATTTCCTATTTTGGCTTTCTCTTCTTGCTCAGAGACATTTCAAGCAACAACCTGTCTGGCAGCATTCCTGCTGCCATCAGCACGCTCACCCAAATTTCTCGCCTGTTAGTGACACTCCAGTCTAGAGAGCTACCGATTTCTTCTCTCAGGAGAGCTTTCCTCTTGTTGCGAGCGAGCAAACAGTGTAAGAGGTTGACGTGGCACTTACATTGCATACATCTCGCATGTTGAGCATGCATGCATTGAAGTACCTATTACATCCATTCATCCAGTGTTATGAATGGAAGGATTGTGGGTTCGGATGTGGTGCTAAGATTATCGCGCCTTCATTTTGTGTGTCTCATCCAATTATCCGTCACAATCTTACTGCTTTCAACTTTCATAAACCATATCTCTCACGGAACATCACCACTCCTCTCGACATCCTAGTGCATGATTCTACATAGGCATTAGTATTGGACAAACTGCGGTTCGGTTCGGCTCTGCTCGGTTCGTTTTTACCCGAACCGAACCGTTATTTTTGGATGGCCGGTCTGCTGTGAACCTGTTGTGTTCATTACCGAACCGTTTTTTCAGATTGGCCAATTCGTTATCAACATTTCTGAAGGATGCAACACTCTATGTGATGTCATAACTGACAATATCAACAATTAGCCTAGCCACGCCGAACCGAACCGGTAAAAAAATAAGAGAGTTGAATCTAATTCCGATCTCCAACTCTCTCATGGTATACTACGCCACCTAAGATAAGTGCGTTTCCCACAGTTCTTGTTTAAGTTTCTGCTAGTAGTGGCTTTGGTGGAGGGGCCCTGGCGGATCAACCCAGTCCTGTTCGTTACAGAACGGACCCGGTTCGGCCGGACTAGTTCGGTTCATTGCCTTAAACAACAAACCACAAACTGGCTCTTTGTTAAACCCGTTCGTTCAGGCAACGGTTCAGTTTGGTACCCTGCTCGTGACTAATCCTAGTGGTTCAATTGATGGAAAATCCCAGTGCCCTCGGTATAACCCATTCGACACAAGTCACATCACTGCACGTCTGCTTGCCCTGGGTTTAAACCACCTGCTGGTCTGCTTCTTCTTGCATTTTTACGCAATGGCAGGTCCCTCAGGAGTAACCAGCTCACGGGTTCAATCCCTGTGGAAATTGGCTCTCTACTATTTTTGACACGCCTGTAAGCCTCCTTTCTGCCACATGAGAAGTCTGGGTGGGCGGAGGCGGCTAGTCTTGAGCCGTTACAAGCCGGTGGGCTGACAAGCCAAGCAGCTGACTCGGCTCACAGCTCCTCCGTTGGTGGCAAGCTGGCTGAACCAATACAACCCGGCTCCGACTTTTCCACGAGCAGTCTGTTACTCGATGGGAAGTGCGCCAGATCCGCGTGGTCGTTTTCCAAATCCTTGTGGATCTGGCATCTACCCGCCAGATCCGCGTGGTCAATCCCTGTGCAAAAGTGGCGCGTCTTCTGGACAAGGATGTCAAGGCTTCAATCCATGTGGAAATTAACTCTCTAGTATCTCTGTAAGAGTTCTTTCCGCCATATGAGAAGTCTGGGCTGAGCCGACTCGTCAATGTTATGTATAATGTATGGATCTGTTGTTGTTCACATGTGGTGCCTAGATAATATAGCCATGCTTTGGTGTGCCCTGTTCTATTTCCGATCACAATCTCACAGTGATATTCTCACTGCTCTCTCCTGGCTGCACTAGTTTCAGAGGGCACATTTATCACGAAATGTCATTAGTATTCCTCTCCTCATCCTTCTGCATGATCCTAGAGGCTCATCTTTAAAGAGAAATTCCGCCGTCCTCCAATTCACAAGGGTCTCTGCCCTTGTGCTTCACCACGGTGTACCTCCACCTGCTGGTCTGGTCCTTGCTTCTTGCTTTCGTACGCAATGGCAGGTCTCTCGGGAGTAATCAGCTCACGGGTTCAATCCCTGTGGAGATTGGCTCTCTACTGTCGCTGTCATCCCTGTAAGGCTCCTTTATGCCACATGAGCATAAGTCTGGGCCGAGCCTGCTGGTCTCGAGCCGTGACAAGCTGGTGGGCTTACAAGACGACATCGTCTCCGCTCCAAGAGCTGACTCGGCTCGTTTCTTGTCCGTCGTAGCAAGCTGGTCGAGCCAATACAGCCCGGCTCCGGCTTTTGCACGAGCCGGAGACAAATGCTCGATGTCACCATGTTTTTTTTTTTTTTTTTTTTTTTTTTTTTTGTGTTTGTTTGTTTTTTTTTGTTTTTTGCGTATCTGGCATTTACATGTGGATGGCGCATCTTTTGGACAAGACTGTCAAGGCCCACCGACGAGCAGACTACTCCTCAAGCTGACTACGTTGTCTTGCACAGCCCGACTCGTCAAGCTAATCCACACACTGTCTCCGCTCTCGACGTTGTCACTTCGTCTCTTCCCGTGCCTCTAACCCCCACACCACACTACCAACAGCGCGCTCGACTACAACATGCTGACAGGATCCATTCCCTCCACGATCACAAAGCTCACTGCTCTTACTTTCTTGTAAGTTGGTTCCAGGTTCCCAAAGGTCCGGATGGACCTGCAGAGGAAATAGATAATTTCCATTTGTAAATATACAATTTTGGAAATATACAATTTTACAATGTGCAGTCAAGGTCAGTACTATGAGTTAGGCATGCGCAAGGGCCGAACCAGGGCTGCACAAAACAGGGTGCGCACCCTTTTTGTGATTAGATTATTTGGCAAAGTGTTGCACTACAAAGTTGAAGTTCTTTTAGTCACCAACGCACTCATTGGAGGAAGCAAACAACAGTTTCAAAACATCGGATTGGAAAACAATTTGAATAATGCCAAACTTGAGCTAGTCTGCGTCAATCCAACATAGGTTCGTGACGAACCCCCACAGGCCAGACCCATATAGGTGGGTCGGCCCATGGGCCAACTAGGGTAAAAATCAGCTTGACCCGAAGTGACTCGAACCCAATCTGGTTTGGTTATCCGGCTAGTGAGGTTTGAACCGGGCCAGCCTGGATTCGCCGCCTACTCATGTCTAATCTTATGCCACTACAACAACCGTCTTCTCTACCTTCTCAACAGTTTGTCTTATCCATCTCTGTTTGTCCCTCGTCTCGACAGTTTCTCATGTCTCCGTTTGTCTCTCGTCTCAGATTTCTCGCGAATAACCAGCTCACCAACTCCATCCCTGCTGGCATTGGCTCGCTGACAAAGCTGGTAACCCTGTAAGGATCTACTGTATGTAGTCCGCCCACATTGCATCAGTCCCTTCATGACTGTTCACATTGAACCGAACATGTTGAGTTCGACAACAAAGGGTTTTTGGTTGTGTTTGTTTTTGTAGAAAACGAATTGGTGAATTTTAACGCATCATGAGAAGAAGAACACATATGTGTGGCTGAACTCTTGAGGTTGCAGCACTCCAAAACTGAGGCCAGGGTTAGCCAACCTTGCAAAGCTAGCAAGTAGCCTCATGTTGCACATACGGGCCAGGCTGGAACAACTCCTCACGTGGCAGCATATGGCACACCATCAGAGCCAGCAAGGCGAGCATGGGATGAATGGCATGTGGCAATGCCAATTGTGACCAAAATTCATTGTGATGAGTGTGGTGGAGTATGGACATGTCATGGTTAGCGTAATATGAAAGGGGGAGGTGCAGATACTGGGAACCTCTTGGACTACAGGTGATGAAATACCCATTGGGACATGCTTGGTGCACGACAATCCAAATCTGGGATTGAACGTGCTTAACGACGACAGGCCGTGCCACCGGCTTGCGTCATTGCAAGGAAATCAAAGCAGCAGGCCAGTCCAATTTGACCAGGCTAGCCAATAGAGACAAAAAATTCTAGGACACATGATGAACCACCATGAGTTGAAACGGTCTGGCAAATTTTCTCATGTGTACTGTACTATCGCTGTGTTCCTTTCTGGCTCAAACTGTCACTTCTGTTCTTCGAGCATCTTGTCCGTCTCCAAGGCACGTTCACTATTTACTCTTCGTCTGTTCTTCCCCAACATCATCATTGTCCCACCCACCTCACTGTTTGTCTTGTCGTCTCTTGTACTCTTCCACCTCACTATACCCCTAGTGATATTCCGTATTTCGGCTTTCTCTTCTTACTCAGAGACGTTTCAAGCAACAACCTGTCTGGCAGCATTCCTGCTACCATCAGCACACTCACCCAAATTTCTCTCCTGTTAGTGATACTCCAGTCTAGATTATCAGTTTCTTCTTACAAGAGAGGTCCTTTCTCGTTGGATGTGAGCAAAAAGCGTAAGGGGTTGACATGATATGTACACACATGCATACGTCTGTAAAGTATTACACCCGTTCATCCAGTGTTATGAATGGATGGATTATAGTTAAAATGTGGTGCTCAGCTAGTCTTGCCTTCATTTGGTGTGTCTAACCTGATTTTCTATCACAATCTCACAGCGCTCTACTTACTGCACTAGTTTCAGATACCATATCCCTCAAGACGAAACATCAGCATTTCTCTGGTCTTCCTAGTGCATAATCCTAGATAGACATTAGCACCGGACGAACTGGAGTTCAGTCCGGTGCTGTTTGGTTCATTTTTACTCGAACTGAACCGTTATTCTTGGGTTGCCAGCTTGTTGTGAATCAGTTCCTTTCATTACCGAACTGGTTTGTTGAATTGGATGGATGCAATACACTACCTAGCCATAGTGGTAACTGACGCTATCAACAATTAGCCGTGCAGCGCCGATCCGAACTGGTTCAAACATAACCTAAAAAACTAGAGAGTTGGACCTCATTTCAAAAGCTCCTACTTTCTCATGATTTACTATGCTCTCTTCCACCAAACATTAGAGCCTTTCTCACAGTTTCTGTTTAGGTTTCTGATACTAGTGACTTTGCTGAAGGGGCCCTGGCAAATTGACCCAGTTCTGTTTGTTACAGAGCCGACTCGGTTCAGCCGAACCTGTTCGATTCGTTGCAGTATATAGCGAACCATGAACAGGCTATATGCTAAACTGGCTCGTTCACAAACAAGTTCGGTTCGGTAGCGAACAGGTTCGGTTTTTAAAGGGTATTAAACCGAACCGGTTAGGTTTGGTACCCTGCTTGTGACTAATTGTAGGGGCTCATCTTGATGGAAAATATCCTGTGCCCTAGGTATAACCCATATGACATGGGTCACTGCCCGTTTGCTTGTCCTGGGTATAACCCACCCACCTGCTGGTCTGCTTCTTCCTTCGTGCATTTTTATGCAATGGCAGATCCCTCTGGAATAATCAGCTAGTGGGTTCAATCCCTGTGGAAATTGGATCTCTACTATCTCTCACATGCCTGTAAGGCTCCGTTCTGCCATATGAGAAGTCTGTGCGGAGCCGGCTCGTCTTGAGTCGTGACAAGCTGGCGGGCTGTCAAGCCAAGCTCGTCTCCGCTTGACTCTGCTTTTGGCTCGTTTCGTCGTAGCAAGCTGGAGCCAATACGACCCGGCTCAGGCTTTTCCATGAGCCGTTTTCTAAGTCTTTGCGGACGAGGTTAAAGTGGTGTGTCTTCTGGACAAGCCCGTCAAGGCTTACCAATGAGCAGAATACTTATCGAGCAGACTGCAGGGTCTTGCCGAGCCCGGCTCATTTAGCTAGCAGCAGAAGCGGCGGAGCATTGCCCAACTCGCCCTGCTGACAAGCCGAGCAGACAAGCCGAGTCGTCGACTCTCGAAGTCTTATGTTCGTGATGACTACTCCATCTATGCGATGCCATTTGCTGACTTTCCGGTGCGTCTACCCCCACACCACCAACAGCCAAATCCAACACAACATGCTGTCAGGATCTGTGCCCTCCTCGATTTCAAAGCTCACTGCTCTTACTTTCCTGTAATTTGGTTCCAAGTTCCCAACGGACCTGATGGCCCTGCCAAAGGATCTCAATATTGCATATAGGTTCTCTTCCATCTGTAAATAGACACTTTTCGTATGTGCAATCAAGGTGTTAGTACTATCAGTTAGGCATGCGCAACGGCCGACCAGGGCCGGCTCAAAACTAGGAGTTCAACCTTTGATTAATTTATTAATCGACCAACGGCCGACCAGGGCCGGCGCAACTGTGATTAATTTATTTGGAGACATGTGATTGCACTACAAAGTTTAAGTGCTTAAAAATCAGTTTGACCCGAAGTCACTGATTAAGGTTTGGGCGAACCCTTTTCGGCCCGACTCGGGCCGGTTCGAGTCCTGCCCGGGGTATAGATATGAGCACGAACCAAACTTAAACATATTTGCTCAAACTTTTTTAAACATTGCATGGTGGTCGAACCGAACCGAACTTGTTTGCTCGAACTTGTTTTGGAATTTTGAGGTTCGAGGTTTGAGTATTTAGTAGCGAACCCTAAAGATTTGCTCAAACCTTGAAAGGTTTGTGCGAACTCGAACCTAGTTAGGTTTTGGGGTTAAAAATGACGCACAACAAAATGTAAAACGCATGCATGTCTGACGGTTCATCAAGAGCATCAAGTTCAGAACAACAAAGCAAATGAGGGTAAAAAAAATCCCAACACCCTAATGGTAGAGAGGAAGCATGGGTGTGGTCCTTTAGAGCAGATTTAGACCTGCTCTACCTATTTTACGAGATTAGGGTTGGCTGCCTTGAAATGGCAGCCAACCCTACGACTTTCCCGTTTTTGACGGGAAAGTCGCGAGAGTTCTTTCTGGTGGGAATCTAACTCGAACCCCTCACGGTTCGAATTTGACATTTTCAAACTTCGAACCTGTTTGGTTCGAAGTTCGAATCTCGAACCGCAAAAGTCTGCGCGAACTGTTCGCGCGAACTATTTGTAGGTTTGCACGTACTTTTTTCATGAGCAAAAGAGTTCGGTTCGAGTTATCTTGAACTGAACTTCTCGAACCAAACCTAGGTTCGGTTCGATGCTCATATCTACTGGGGTATAGCCACAAACGAGTGAAATCGAGTTTTTACGATTTGTAACCCTAAAATGTGATCCCTCTGTACTAATCTTCAAGTTATCTTACCCTAAACGGAAGCCACAGTTGGTTGCTTCTGGTTTTGTATTCCCTGAAACGGAATGCCTAAGATAAGAAGTTTCGGGGGTTGACGAGATCCAGAATCTGACGCTTTCTCCTTTGTCGATTTTCCAGATCTGAAATTGGCACTATCTGAAATCGTTTTTTAACCAGCGGGCCGAATCCAAAGCTTAGCGGTTGGGCGGGCTGACCCTGGTTCAGCCCGCCCCGGGCCGACTGCTTAGTTTCAGAATTCGGCCCGGGCAAATATCGGGCCGTTTCGCTCCGGGCAGAACCAGGTTCCGAATCAAGCTCATGCCTACCGCTTGTCGCTCCCTCGTCCCCCTGTCTCGGACAGGTCTCTCACGAGCAACCAGCTCACTAGCTCCATCCCCGCTGACATTGGCTTGCTGACGAAGCTGGTAGTCATGTAAGGACCTACTGTATGTTATTTGCACACATTGCTTTTGAACACCAGTCCCTAAGTGACTTTTTGCACCGAACCGAACATGTTTGGTTCGACTACACAGGTTGTTCAATTGTGTTTGTTTCGTTGGTTGTGAGTGGTGTTTTATCTGGTTGAAGGGAATAACAATCTACACACCTGTAATTGAGAATCAACAGCCAAATGACACCCATATGCCGTCGATTCATTTGACCAGGCTTAGGGTCAGGTCGACCTGACAAAGTTTCAGATAACACCCAACCCAACCCCAAGTCCTGGCCGGGTTGAAGATGTGCCAGGGTCCTGACCCAACCTGAACCTGGCTCGGTTGGGCCAATCCATACCCAGGTTGGATCTGGTGGGTTTGAACCAATGCAACTGCTGAAGATTTATGTGAATGTTCCTGTCTGTTATCTCAAACATGTCAATTGCCCCTTTTCAGTAGGCATAGCCGAGCCAAGGCCTACTTGGTTCTTGCTCACTATTATAAATAAAACCACTTTGATCCAAAGTATAACCTGTTTGGTTCGGCTTCAACCGGCTTGTGACCCTACCAGTTGAGCCAGTACGGTTCAAGTGGGTGCATGCTTGCATACGGTTTCTGCCTAATCAGGTCGGGGATTGCACATAAGTCAATGCAGCGACAAAAACAATCCGCGATAATTCGAATCTCAACTGTGAAATGCGAAATGCCACTACAGTGTAATGAATCAGGTCCAGGGATGGTCCCTCGAACTCGAACTAATTTGGTTCGAGGCAAACCATGAAGTGTTCGCCTGTGTCCACGAACTCGCAAACACCTGTTTTGAAAACAACGTTCGTGACAAACCGAACGGGTTCGGTTCGTTTATGGTAAGTGTTTGTTGTGGTTTGTGGCAAAAACCTTCGAGTCCGCCATTTGTTCGATATGTGACGAGTTTCCCCTACGAGCCGAGGCGAGAAACTTGCCCCATTACCCATGTATACCCCATCTTAGGAATCCGTTCGGGGCAAATCGAACATGTTCAGATCGACCACGTGAGGTGTTCGACATGCGTTTGACCCCCCAAACATGTTCGTGTTTGGGTGTAGCCCATGCCTCCCACCATTGGATGGGGATGGGCCAACCTAGACCTGACCCGACATGGTTGAATGTAGCATTGTGCATGGGTTGGTCAATGCGCTCAAATCTTGAATTGAACATGCCTACCTATTACGGGCTGTGAATCATGACAACCAACGAGAAAACCAACGCAGGCCAGTTCGATTGGGCCTGCCAACCGAGACAAAAGAAGGCTCAAATGGACACATGACGACCGCCATAGGCCGAACTCGGCTGGGGAATTTGCTCATGCGTACTGTACTAACCCTGCATTGCTTTCTGGCCAGCACTCTTAGACGACTGACATGAATATTGTAGCTTTTCTGCTTACTTTTTCCTCTGTCTCTCTCGCAATCGCACTCAATGTTCCTCCATACAGGAGTCTCGGTAACAATCAGCTCACCGGTTCCATTCCTGCCGGGATTGGTAACATGACCGAACTAGTATATCTGTAAGTTAGTTCCTGGTCGTTCATCCCCTTCATTTGGCCTCAATCCTGGCGTTGGCTTTTTCGGGCGGGGTATAAAAAACCGGGGCAGTGTGAGAAAAACACCCTAGGTGTAGTTTACAAGGGGGTTCACGGGGGTTGTGTTTCAGGTTCCTTCTTTTCCCGATGAGGCTGAAATGCTTGAAGAATTCGTGCTGAATGTTGGGAAGGTACTCCCTGGTCTCACGAAATGGAAAATGCAAAGTGAGATCATAGGGCGGGTTGGGAACTGCAGTAGACATTATTGCGTATTGTACTAGGAGTGAGTAGGCATGGGCAAAAAACCCGGACTGGTCAGGTTACCCGACCTGACCGGACTTCTTTAACCGGTTCGGGTCCTGATCTTGGGATTGACTACCTGGGCGGGTCGAGTAGGGTATACTCGGACGGGTGCAAAATACCCGGTACCCGACCCGGGTGTCCAAAGTCGGGTTTTTAATAACTGTCAGGTTGAGTAAACTCGACCCGAACTCGGGTCACTAACCCGTAGTTGGGTCGGGTACTCGTACCTGTCGGGGTGTACTTAGGGTTACGATGTTGAAAGTCGAAAGATGTCGCCCTTTCAGATCACAGATAAAAAAAACGAGTGGGCTGGATCTGGCTATTGCGAATCCAGCTCAGGATCTGGAATCCCAACCCCCCAGACAACAATCCCAATCCCCCACACAACAATCCCAAACCTCCACACAACAATCCCAACCCCCCACACAATGATTTCACACAAAATGCTCTCCCAACCACCCCCACAGCCCCCAACCTACGAAAATTCCGAATTCTGCTCCCCACAATCCCCAACTTACAAATTTGTGAAGTTCTGAACCCTCAAATCCCCAAACTTCGAAATAATCGAATTTCAGCACCCCGATATCCCCATCCCAACATACAAAATTCGCAAATTCCCCTCCCTCCAATTCCCCAACGTACAAATTGGCGAATTCTGCTCCCCCACACCCCCAACTTACGAATATTGCGAATGCTTCCTCCAACCCCCAACTCACGAGACTCTGTGCTATCCCTATCCAACCCTTTTCTGACAACCTATATCTCACCGTCCCACCAACCTAGAATACCAACCCTCACCCTAATATCGCCTCACAAGTGGCTTTAGATTAGTCCAGAACAAACATCGTTTTGGTTCCAATTAATAGAGCTAATAAAAAAGGGTATTCAGATATACCCGGCCCGACCTCGGGTATACCCGACCCGACTGCGGGTCAGAGATACCCGAGAGGTACTGGGAGGGTCAGGTCAAATACTCGGGTTCGGCCGAACCCGACCTCGGGTCGGCCTAGATGGGTCGGGTCGGGTCGGGTCAGGCTAATGCACATGCCTAGGAGTGAGTGACTAGGTGGGAATGGACTGATGGAAGAGAGAACGAGAAGTAGATCTGACGAAAAACTGTGTTGGGGGACGTATTGGAAAGGTTGAAGTTCGTAGTTTGGCTTCGGTTCAAACTGGTGGAACTCTGAAATTCGTATTTGCAACTCCAACCAGCCCGAATCCAAACATTGAAGCCACATTTCCACTACCCTAAATCTTGGACATGCATTTCGACCACGGAAAATTGATCGCCGTGAAAAATGGCAACTGCTTTCATAGACTCGAAGATTTTCACCCTGGGCTGACAAAAAAAAATGCATAGCGTAATCGCTGGCATACAGAGCATAACGTGTACACGCTAGCATGTATACGGAATATGCTAAAGCCCAGAAACATATCTGCCAACTCAACAAACCGGTGGATGTTCCAGGTATGAATGTTGTGCATTGCAATGAACAGGTTCAGCGCTTCGACTGGGTCCCGTATGGCTCTGGTCCACCCGTCTATTTTCGATTTGTATGGTCCAACTAAAGCAGCACTGTGTGCAGTTTGCGTGGAATCGGTTTCAGCCCTGAGATCAGAGCTAGATTGTTTCAGACATTTGTGCCGTTCTGACCAACCAGATGCTAGTGCTGGAGATTTATGTGGGTTCTCCTTCCTTTATGCGTCGATTGTCCCTTCTCAGTAGGCATCAGAAACAGCCGAGCCAAGGCCTGTTTGGTTCTTGCCCACTCAAATATAGTAAAACCAGTTCGATTCAAACTAGAACCGGTTCCGATGAAACTGGCTTGTGACCCTACCAGTCGAGCCGGTACGGTTTGACCCACAGAACCATGATGCTGCATGCTCGCATACCGGTTCAATCCAGGCCGGTTTGGCTTCAACTGAGGAAAATCAGAACCGGTCCTGGCTCATGCCTCGAAATAGGGTGTAGTAGGAGACAAGAGAAACGGCTGAGCTGGATAAAACATCGAGATACAAGGTTAGACCTGAGCAAGTATTGAACCTGAACGGGTTCGTTTCAAATTGGGCTGAATTGTTGTAGGAACTGAACTGAACCACTTCTGTTTGGTTTGAACCGTTGTACGCATGTCAGCTGTTGAATGTTCGCATGTGAAATCGGTAGATAGCAAGGTACAACTTGAACCCCAAGCGAACCAACGTTCGGTCCTGTGCTCATCACTACAAGAATGTACAGCAGTTTGGGGCGAAACCCCAACTGAAACTAGGGTGTGTTCAGCCTAGGATAACAAAAAGAAACTGGGCTTAATCTGAACCTGAGATTAAATATGCTATATAAATGGCCGGAAACAATATATATGGGCATTACAAAGAACTGAGAAAACACTAGCCCACAGCCGTCGCTTCTGACTTCGTGCTGTATTCACCCCTCTTAACCCTCTGAATGCAAAAGCAGACAGACAACTTGGTTCGGCCCAAGTCGGGCCGAACCAGCAAACCTAGGCTTTGGCGGCTGAAAGTCGAACCGGGCCAGCTCGTCCCGAGCGGCGGCGCAACGTGAACCGTGCGCCATTCTTCTGTAGCACCATAACGCCTGTTAGGGGTTGAGCAAAGGGCAAACACGAATATGTTCGTGTTCTCCCTTGCACGAACACCCATGTTCGGCGAACCAAACATGTTCGTGTTCGCCGAACACCACCCCCCACTAAAAAAGGTGTTCGCCGTTCGCCCTCAAAGGTGAACAGCAGAGTGTTTGTGCAGGCACTGTTTGCCACAAACACTGATCGATATCGCTATACAGGGAGCCTTCAACCTGGTTCCTAGTGTTTCGCCACTGGTTTGAACGCTAAAGCGCCAAGATTAACCGTTGGCACCATCAATATTCTAGACTAATCTACCAATAAGATTAGTACACCGAACACCGACACACCGACGTGCACACACTGCAAATTTGCTGTGTGATAGACACGCCGAGCCATGGGTGCCAGAATCGAAATTGCAGGGTTGGGCATGCCGCAGCGAAATACACCAACAACTTAGTCGTTAATGTTAGTGTTAGCCCTCAATCTCACACTTCGTATTTTATACTTTATATATTCTAGCGTAGTGTAGTTTGCACTTTGTGTTTGGTTGGGTGTACACCTACATCCCAACCAAACCCAAATGTAATCTCCAAGCAATCTCCAACCCACCAATTGGAGATTGTCTTGTGATTACCCCCAATCCCTAGAAATTGCACCCGATTCCCTTTCCCATCCATTGCTTCCCCATCTTGCTTGCCCATGTAGCTCATTACTAATGCATCAGTTCTAAGCTTAAGTTGTGACATGGTATCAGTGCACTTCAACCGCACACGTGGATCATGATCCTCTTATCTTTGCGAATCCTCATCCCACAAACTTCGTTGTAGCTGCCTTCAATCTCGTCGCCGGTGATTCGCGACATCCGTGGCCGGAAATTCTGCCGCGCCACTTTCTCGTCATTCTCGACGACTTCTTTAACTCCTCTAGTAAGCGCATCGTCGGCGCTTTTACCATTCATGTCTTTTCGTCAAACACCTTCGCTCCATCTCTTCTCGTCGGGCCGCCGCCCGTCGCCCCGCAGCTTCTCGTCGGGCCGTCGCCCATCGCCCGTCGCCCGAAGTTCCTATCGGTGACTTAAGAGCGGCGCTTCGCGCGAGACATTAAGGGTTCTTCATCATGGCCTTCACCTCGCCCACCATTGCCAACCCCATCACCCCACTCCGCCTTGAAGCCGATGGCTATAGATCCAACTCGAAGGCATGGAGCTACGGGGTTGACAAGCATCTCCTGAGTCATGACGTGCAGGGATTGGACCTCAAGGACGTCCTTCTCAACCGTGGCAAGGGAAAACAGCCCCTTCTCCCCCGTGAGTTGATTGAACCTGCTAGTGATAATGGCATGAGGGCGTACGAGGAAGCTGTTGAGAAGTACCGGAAATGGGAGAAGGCCGATGCGGCTATCATCAGCCTCCACCCTTCCTGAACTTGTCAACACGTTCCACAACTACCCTACCTCCAACGCCATCTGGAAGTATCTCCAGGATCGGTTCATGAACAAGACGGCGGTCGCAGTTGTCATTCTCAATCCCAGCATATTCCAGGTCTGCCTTGAGGACTGCTCGGGAATGGCCGACTACATTGCCAATATACCTGTGCAAAGGGGCAAGCCGAGTAATGCTCGACTCGTCCCTTGCCTTGCTCGGCCAAGTTTTTACCCGAGTCGAGGAATACTCGACCGAGCATTTTTCCCCCAAACAGAAACTCGTTACTCGCCCTTCAACAGGAAAGCTCGTCCGAGTACGAGTAATGCTCGGCCATGTGCTCTATACGGTATTTACCAAAAATGAGGGCACTGGAGTCCCGCGATGGATGGTCTGGTCATCAGCCTAAGAGGAATCTGTGTAACCTTCTAGTCGAGGAGGGGAAGCCCACCAAGTGTGAGAACATGAGACTAGGTGCTCTAAAGATAACGTAATACCCGCTTCGTCGCCTTCCAATGAAGATCAGTGAAGCGTCCACGGGCCACGTAGCGAGAGATGACACTGACAGGATATGCTAGGTCAGGCCAAGTGCACATCATGGCGGGACCCAACAAGCTCCGGGTATGGCTCAGAGCAGGCCTCTGGTGTGGGTACAGCTGGGGCTGTGAGGAGGTGTTGCAGCGGAAGCGGGGTGGTAACAGGCGTGCACAGCTCCATCTCAAACCGCTTGAGCACATTGTTGATGTAGAACTCCTGGGAGAGTGAAATGGTGCGAGCTTGACGATCACGAGTGATCTCCATCCCCAGGTAGGTCACTGAGGTCTTTCATCAGGAGGGCCTTGCTCAGGGCCGCCTGGACAGAGGTCATCTGGGCCGAGTCCTTGGCAACGAGGATGAAGTCATCGACGTAGACAAGGATGTAGAACGCCTCAGAGTGACGTCGGATGAAGAGAGTCGGGTGAGGAGATGATGGGTAAAATTCCAATGAGAGAAGGACTTCTTTCACTTTGTTGTGCCATTCATGAGGGACTTGCCTGAGCCCGTAAACAGGGCGATTCAGCTTCCAGGCAGTGTTGGCAGGGAACTTTCCTAGAAATCCTTCAGGTCGATCCATGAACACTGTCTCCTTGAGATGTCCTTGCAGGAAGGCTGATGAGGCGTCCATAGATTTGATCTCGAAGTCTTCTCGTGCGGCTACATTCAATAGCGGTGGGTGGTTTGGATGTGGGAGAGAATGTCTTGAAGAAGTCAAAGTATTGCTGCTGAGTAAATCTCTTGGCCACATAGCGTGCTTTGAACACTGGGGTCTCGTCCGTAAGCTGTTTCGTTCGAAATAGCCCCTTGCCCCCAACGATGTTAACTTCTGGAAGTGGAGTTTTGTCGTCGAAAGAGTGGTTGCGAGTGAAGACTTCACACTCAGCTTCCATGGCAGCACGCCATTCGGCAGCATGGGGACCCGAGAGAGCCTCTTGGACGGTGAGAGGGATAGGGATGGTCGGGTTCTCCAAGAGATTGAGTGAGGGTGAATTAGTGATATCGGGGAAGATGTGCGAGAGCTGGGGGGTGACTGTGTGAAGATCACACAACTCCTCATGCCTATCTTCCAGAAGGGTAGAGGGCATATCCCCCTGGCAGGAGGAGTCGGAGTGATCACTGAGCATCGAATAGCAAGTGCCAGTGGAGGAGCAGGCCCATGCGATCGAGTGCCATGGGCCATCGGAGAAGAGGATGGCAGGTGGTGCTGGAGAGGTTGGTTTAGGAGGCTTGGGCAGAGGGATCGGCCATCGCTGGTACGTGATCAGGTCGCTCGGCTGTGGAGTGGCGGGTTCTTGAGTGGAAGAGAGAACGGAGGGAAGAGGTGGGGCTGGAGAATGCTACTGCCGATGGGATGTGATTGGTGCGCTTGGAGATGGGAGCGCAGTTGGCAGAGTGGGAGAAGGGGGAGATGGAGGAGCAGCTGCCGACACCGGTGAGGTCGGGTTAGAGACCTCAGATGGGGATGGATCGATGGCAGGAGAGGTTGGAGGTGAGGGAGCTGGTGCGGGCGGAAGTTCAGGAGGAGCATCAAAGTCAGCCCACACGAGTAGAAGGGACGGGTGATCCCCTTCTGAGGTGGAGTAGAAAGGGCGGATCTCATCAAAGACAACGTCGCGGCTCCGGACTAATTGTTGAGTGGAGGGGATGGGGAAGAGGTAGTCAGGGGAGTCGGCGTTGTGCTCAAGGTAGATGCATGTTTGAGTCTTGGGGTCGATTTTGTCGTGTTGCTGCCGCCGAGTCTGAGGGTTGAAGAGGACATAGGCGGTGCTCTCCCAGGTGCAAAGGGGGCGAGCAGTGGGTGTTTTTCAGAGCCAAGGTGTGGTGGGAGTGGTGTCGAGAAGAAGCGGGTGGGGGTAAAGGTTGTAGAGGAGGGCGACATGATAGAGGGCGTACCCCCAGAGTGAGTGGTGCGTTGGAGTGGTTGAGGAGGCAGGGAGCTATCTGCACCATGCGGCTCTCTGCGATGCCACTCTGCTACGGGCTGTCAGGAAGGGTGAAATTTTGCAGGATGCCTTCTGAGGAGCAGAAGGCTTTGAGCTTGTCGTTGCAAAATTCACCACCACCATCCGAATGGAGGTGCTTGACCTTGCAGCCAGATAAACCCACGCCATGATGGCCTATGGAGCCTCAGCTTTAGTGTGAACGAGGTGCACAGAGACTTAGTGGGAGTGATCATCAACTATTGCAAGGAAATAGCGATAGCCTCCTCGTGCGGGAACAGGGGCAGGACCCCAAACGTCCATGTGCACTAGGTCCTGTGGGGATGCTGCGACTGTGGGTGAGGCAGGATGGGGCTGTTGGCGCAGTTTGCTCTTGGTGCAGTCAACGCACGTGGGAGCGGGGGAGTCAGGTAGTGGAGGAAGTGAAGCTCGTAGGCCGAGAAGAAGTTTCTTGGAGGCCATGTCAGCAAGCGTGCGGAAGTTTGGGTGTCCGAGGCGATGGCCGGATTGGCGAAACTGCGGCATGAGCATGATGTGATAGTAGCTTGTCCTTGGGTGGTTGACACCTGTGGGATAGGTACACGCAACATGTAGAGGCCGCTACTGTTGAGGGTGAAGCGAGCTAAGACTTGTTGGTGAGTGGGTCGATGATGTCACAATATTCCTTGTATTCCGAAAGTATGGTGCAGGCCCCTCATTTCCGTACTGCAGCATCAACGCTAAACCTAATCCTCACGCGCTAGATCTAGCTCACAACACTCCAGCCTCAGTGGATAGTGGAAGAACTAACCTAAAGCAAAAAGGCTTATGATAGCTGTATTTAACGTGGGCGTAAGTATGGTGGCTAGAGATGTCGCGAATGACAACATTCAAGCTCGAAACAGAGCTCAAATGTTGTATTTCCTGCCTACGTACAAAACCAGCGCGTCATGACGCCCCTCATTCCAAAATTATGGTGCGCGCCCCTCATTTCCGTACTGCAGCATCAACGCTAAACCTAATCCTCACGCGCTAGATCTAGCTCACAACACTCCAGCCTCAGTGGATAGTGGAAGAACTAACCTAAAACAAAAAGGTTTATGATAGCTGTATTTAACGTGGGCGTAAGTATGGTGGCTAGAGATGTCGCGAATGACAACATTCAAGCTCGAAACAGAGCTCAAATGTTGTATTTCCTGCCTACGTACAAATCCAGCGCGTCATGACGCCCCTCATTCCAAAATTATGGTGCGCGCTCCTCATTTCCGTACTGCAGCATCAACACTAAACCTAATCCTCACGCACTAGATCTAGCTCACAACACTCCAGCCTAAGTGGATAGTGGAAGAACTAACCTAAAACGAAAAGGTTTATGATAGCTGTATTTAACGTGGGCGTAAGTATGGTGGCTAGAGATGTCGCGAATGATAACATTCAAGCTCGAAACAGAGCTCAAATGTTGTATTTCCTGCCTATGTACAAAACCAGCGCGTCATGACGCGCTAGTTTTAACGCGAACCTGTTGGATTCGTGTCAAACGCCCGACAGAGGCGAACACTTTCGTACGCCGTCATGAATGCGTTTGCTGCAAACGGGGAGCGTTCGTCACGAATGAGTTTTGCCAAAAAAAAAAGGCCACATACTCCCACCACACTCACCCACAGTGAAGTGTGGTCACAGTTGGCATTGCCACCTAACCACTAATCCCATGCTCATCTTGCTGCCCCATATGCTGCATGAAGGCTGTTGTTCCAACCTGGCACATATGTGCATGATTCTAGTCTAGAGGCTCGTCTTGATTGAAAAATGCCTCCGCCCTCTATTTGACACAGATCACTGCCCTTGTGCTTGCCCTGAGTATAATCCACCTGCTTGTCTGCTTCTTCCTTCTTGCATTTGTACGCAATGGCAGGTCCTTCAGGAATAATCAACTCACGGGTTCAATCCCTTGGGATATTGGCTCTCTACTATCTCTGACATCCCTGTAAGCCTCCACTCTGCCACGTAAACATATGTCTCGGCTGAGACAAGCCGGCAAGCTGACAAGCCAAGCTCGTCTCCGCTTGAGGACCTGTGCCGGCAGCGTACCAATACAACCCGGCTCCCACTTTTCCACGAGCCGACCGGTACTTTTCGATGACAAGTGCGTCTCGCCGTGTTCCAATGCCTTGCAAATCTGGCATCTACCTGCCAGATCCGCGTGAACAGGGAGAAAGTGGCATGTATTCTGGACAATCCTGCCAAGACCCACCAAAGAGCAGACTACTCATCGAGCTGACTGTTGGGTCCTGCCGAGCCCGACTCATCGGGCTAGCAGCGGGGCCGGCGGAGCAGGATTATTGCCCAGCTTGCCCTGCTGACGAGCTGAGCCGACAAACCGAGCTGCCGACTCAGACTCCATCCATGCTACCTCCTCCATGTCTACTCCATCCATGCTATCTCCTCTCCCGACTCTGTCACCGTCTCTCTTCCTATGCATCTACCCCCCCACACCAGCCATCTCGGGGACAACATGCTGTCAGGATCAATGCCCTCCTCGATCACAAAGCTCACCGCTCTTACTTACTTGTATTTTGGCTCCATGTTCCCAGAGGTCCTGATGGACCTGCAGAGGATATCAAAATTGAATAAAGATGGCCTTGTTTTCATTTGTAAATGAACAATTTTGGAATGTGCAATCCACTTCTTAGTACTGCTAGTTAAGCATGCGCAAGAGCCGAATCAAGGCCGGCACAGAACAGGGTGGGCAACCTTTTTTGCGAAAGGTGTTTGCACAATAGAGTTGAAGTGCTTCTAGGCACTAACGCACTCACTGGAGGAACCAAAATTGAGCTAGCCTGTGAAATCCAACATAGGTTTGTGACGAACCTCCACTGGCCCATATAGTCAGCCTATGGGCCATGGTAGAAATTAGCTTGACCCGAAGTGACTCGAACCCAATCTGGCGTATTTGGCGTATCTGGAAAGAATTGGGCTTAGTGAGTGACACTTCGTCACAAGACCAGTGGCGGACTCCACTATTTGTGCAGCTAAATCACCGATGTGCTCGGATCAGCGGGCGGAACCGTCGATTCTCAAGCTCGACGAGTGAAGTGAAAAATGCTGGCGCGAGTCTGCAAGAAGTCGCGGAAATTGGGAGCTTATGAGTTAAAGAAAATCGCAGAGTTTAGGTAAAAACCAGGACTCGTTACTCGCTTTGTGACGAGTTTCCCACCGTTGCCCCGTTACTCACTCACGAGCGGAGGCGAGAAACTTGCCTTGTTGCCCATGTATACTCCATCTTTGGAGTCTCTTCGGTGCAAACCGAACATGCTCGGTTAGACCACATGAGGCGTTCGACATGTGTTCAACGCCCCAAACATGTTTGTGTTGGGTGTAGCTCATGCCTCTCACCATTGTCCGATGGGGATGGGCCGACCCAAACCCAACCCGACAGGGTTGAATGTAGCATCTTGCATGGGTTGGTTGGTCAATGCGCTTGAATCTCGAATTGAACATGCCTACTTACGACGGGCTGTGAGTCATGACAAACCGGCTTGCTTGATCGCGAACAGAGGCTGAGTTCGATTGGCCAAGGCTGAGGCCAGCAAGCCGATACAAAAGAAGGCCTAATTGGACACATGACGAACCGCAATGGGCCGAAAAGGGCTGGGGAAGTTGCTCATGCGCACTCTACTCACCCTGTATTCCTTTGTGGCCTGAACTTTTAGGTGACCATCATGAACATTACAGCTTTACTGCTTACTAATTCCTCTGCCTCTCTCGCAATCGCACTCATTGTTCCTCCATACAGGAGTCTTGGTAACAATCAGCTCACTGGCTCCATTCCTGCTGAGATTGGTAACATAGCAAAACTTGTTTCTTTGTAAGCTAGTTCCTGCTCTGCCCTCCCCTTCATTTGCCAACCTCTTCCTATAAGCCCATATGACTCTCCTGCTGTGCTTCAATCACAGGGAGTCGTATGGTCGAACTGCCAGCACCGTGCACAGTTTGGGTGGAATCGGTTTCAGCCCGGGCATCAGAGCCAATCTGTTTGGGACATTTGTGTCACTCTGACCAACTAGATGCAACTGCTGAAGATTTATGTGAATGTTCCTGTCTGTTATCTCAAACATGTCAATTGCCCCTTCTCAGTAGGCATAGCCGAGCCAAGGCCTACTTGGTTCTTGCTCACTATTATAAATAAAACCACTTTGATCCAAAGTATAACCTGTTTGGTTCGGCTTCAACCGGCTTGTGACCCTACCAGTTGAGCCAGTACGGTTCAAGTGGGTGCATGCTTGCATACGGTTTCTGCCTAATCAGGTCGGGGATTGCACATAAGTCAATGCAGTGACAAAAACAATCCGCGATAATTCGAATCTCAACTGTGAAATGCGAAATGCCACTACAGTGTAATGAATCAGGTCCAGGGATGGTCCCTCGAACTCGAACTAATTTGGTTCGAGGCAAACCATGAAGTGTTCGCCTGTGTCCACGAACTCGCAAACACCTGTTTTGAAAACAACGTTCGTGACAAACCGAACGGGTTCGGTTCGTTAATGGTAAGTGTTTGTTGTGGTTTGTGGCAAAAACCTTCGAGTCCGCCATTTGTTCGATATGTGACGAGTTTCCCCTACGAGCCGAGGCGAGAAACTTGCCCCATTACCCATGTATACCCCATCTTAGGAATCCGTTCGGGGCAAATCGAACATGTTCAGATCGACCACGTGAGGTGTTCGACATGCGTTTGACCCCCCAAACATGTTCGTGTTTGGGTGTAGCCCATGCCTCCCACCATTAGATGGGGATGGGCCAACCTAGACCCGACCCGACATGGTTGAATGTAGCATTGTGCATGGGTTGGTCAATGCGCTCAAATCTTGAATTGAACATGCCTCCCTATTACGGGCTGTGAATCATGACAAACCGGCTTGCTTCATCACGAGAAAACCAACGCAGGCCAGTTCGATTGGGCCTGCCAACCGAGACAAAAGAAGGCCCAAATGGACACATGACGACCGCCATAGGCCGAACTCGGCTGGGGAATTTGCTCATGCGTACTGTACTAACCCTGCATTGCTTTCTGACCAGCAATCTTAGACGACTGACATGAATATTGTAGCTTTTCTGCTTACTTTTTCCTCTGTCTCTCTCGCAATCGCACTCAATATTCCTCCATACAGGAGTCTCGGTAACAATCAGCTCACCGGTTCCATTCCTGCCGGGATTGGTAACATGACCGAACTAGTATATCTGTAAGTTAGTTCCTGGTCGTTCATCCCCTTCATTTGGCCTCAATCCTGGCGTTGGCTTTTTCGGGCGGGGTATGAAAAACCGGGGCAGTGTGAGAAAAACACCCTAGGTGTAGTTTACAAGGGGGTTCACGGGGGTTGTGTTTCAGGTTCCTTCTTTTCCCGATGAGGCTGAAATGCTTGAAGAATTCGTGCTGAATGTTGGGAAGGTACTCCCTGGTCTCACGAAATGGAAAATGCAAAGTGAGATCATAGGGCGGGTTGGGAACTGCAGTAGACATTATTGCGTATTGTACTAGGAGTGAGTAGGCATGGGCAAAAAACCCGGACTGGTCAGGTTACCCGACCTGACCGGACTTCTTTAACCGGTTCGGGTCCTGATCTTGGGATTGACTACCTGGGCGGGTCGAGTAGGGTATTCTCGGACGGGTGCAAAATACCCGGTACCCGACCCGGGTGTCCAAAGTCGGGTATTTGAAAACCTGTCAGGTTGAGTAAACTCGACCCGAACTCGGGTCACTAACCCGTAGTTGGGTCGGGTACTCGTACCTGTCGGGGTGTACTTAGGGTTACGATGTTGAAAGTCGAAAGATGTCGCCCTTTCAGATCACAGATAAAAAAAACGAGTGGGCTGGATCTGGCTATTGCGAATCCAGCTCAGGATCTGGAATCCCAACCCCCCAGACAACAATCCAAATCCCCCACGCAACAATCCCAAACCCCCACACAACAATCCCAACCCCCCACACAATGATTTCACACAAAATGCTCTCCCAACCACCCCCTCTTAACCCTCCGAATGCAAAAGCAGACAGACAACTTGGTTCGGCCCAAGTCGGGCCGAACCAGCAAACCTAGGCTTTGGCGGCTGAAAGTCGAACCGGGCCAGCTCGTCCCGAGCGGCGGCGCAACGTGAACCGTGCGCCATTCTTCTGTAGCACCATAACGCCTGTTAGGGGTTGAGCAAAGGGCAAACACGAATATGTTCGTGTTCTCCCTTGCACGAACACCCATGTTCGGCGAACCAAACATGTTCGTGTTCGCCGAACACCACCCCCCACTAAAAAAGGTGTTCGCCGTTCGCCCTCAAAGGTGAACAGCAAAGTGTTTGTGCAGGCACTGTTTGCCACAAACACTGTTCGATATCGCTATACAAGGAGCCTTCAACCTGGTTCCTAGTGTTTCGCCACTGGTTTGAACGCTAAAGCGCCAAGATTAACCGTTGGCACCATCAATATTCTAGACTAATCCACCAATAAGATTACGCTAAGGACGCGGCACATCTTTTGTTTTTTTCCAGGATCGAGGGGGATCGAAGCCCGTACACCGATTCTCCCACATCGATCAGCACACGGACGTGCACTCACTGCAAATTTGCAGTGTGATAGACACGCCGAGTCATGGGTGCCAGAATCGAAATTGCAGGGTTGGGCATGCCGGAGCGAAATACACCAACAACTTAGTCGTTAATGTTAGTGTTAGCCCTCAATCTCACACTTCGTATTTTATACTTTATATATTCTAGCGTAGTGTAGTTTGCACTTTGTGTTTGGTTGGGTGTACACCTACATCCCAACCAAACCCAAATGTAATCTCCAAGCAATCTCCAACCCACCAATTGGAGATTGTCTTGTGATTACCCTCAATCCCTAGAAATTGCACCCGATTCCCTTCCCCATCCGTTGCTTCCCCATCTTGCTTGACCATCTAGCTCATTACTAATGCATCGATTCTAAGCTTAAGTTGTGACATGGTATCAGTGCACTTCAACCGCACACGTGGATCATGATGCTCTTATCTTTGCGAATCCTCATCCCACAAACTTCGTCGTAGCTGCCTTCAATCTCGTCGCCGGTGATTCGCGACATCCGTGGCCGGAAATTCTGCCGCGCCACTTTCCCGTCATTCTCGACGACTTCTTTAACTCCTCTAGTAAGCGCATCGTCGGCGCTTTTACCATTCATGTCTTTTCATCAAACACCTTCGCTCCATCTCTTCTCGTCGGGCCGCCGCCCGTCGGGCCGTCGCCCCGCAGCTTCTCGTCGGGCCGCCGCCCATCGCCCGTCGCCCGAAGTTCCTATCGGTGACTTAAGAGCGGCGCTTCGCGCGAGACATTAAGGGTTCTTCATCATGGCCTTCACCTCGCCCACCATTGCCAACCCCATCACCCCACTCAGCCTTGAAGCTGATGGCTATAGATCCAACTCGAAGGCATGGAGCTACGGGGTTGACAAGCATCTCCTGAGTCGTGACGTGCAGGGATTGGACCTCAAGGACGTCCTTCTCAACCGTGGCAAGGGAAAACAGCCCCTTCTCCCCCGTGAGTCGACTGAA